AAGTTGTAAAATTTCAAACATATGAAAGCTTAGAATTACCAATTTTATGGAAGTATTGAGTCTATGGAAACCGTATTTAAGGGACTTTGAAATATTCTTACCTAATTGGACTAGAACACCCAGATAATTTGTGAAATAAAACAATACAACTTTTTTTCTATAATACAGTGTTTTTTTGCTACTTTAGATCCAACTATATTTGGGACTCACAGGTGTAGGATATTGGGATTTAATGTTAAGTTGTCATCAGATTTCGATTAAAAGAGCCTTATCCCAGGTGCTTCACGAGGGTTTTGTCTCAGGGATTGTGTTACTGCAGGGGCGTCAAATTGGGTCAGCTAGGGTGATCAGATATCATCGACAAATTATATCGCGTTTAGATAAGTTACTAAGAGAAGAATTATGTTCAGAGGGTTGAAAGATAATTTTTGAAAATAGTGCGATCACTGCACTTTTTAAACAAGCATGATCATCATGTCACTTCGCCAAAATGCAAGAAATCTCGTTATTTTTAAAGAACTCTGGGAGCCATCGTGCCAGGGTTTCAAACGTAAAAAATTTATTTCACGCAAAGCATTTGGTAGAAATTGTTTTCATCCTTCTAAACACCCTCTACACATTCAGTAATTGGCCTTGCCCTAGGAAATTTGTTCATATTTTCAAAAAAAATCTCTAAAAAAAATTCTAAGTCAACAAATTGGAAGAGAACACGTACACAAAGAGATCTGTTGCCAAAATATTAATAAATCACAGAAATGTCGATTCCTTCCTTTCTCTTACGATTGCCCAAATAGGGGTAGGTAGTGAAACAGAGCAATAAAGTGTGATTTATTGTGAGGGACATTTTTAGACCCATCTAGATTGATAGACGTATCTAAAGAGATATAGAGCATCTTGATTATTCAAAAGATGATATTGGTAAGAGTTTGTCTTAGATTTGTAATTTTTTCTCTAATTAAATTTATAGAAATAATACTCTTACAAATTGAGTACCAACTGATTTGAGTGCGTTTTATCCCTTGAAAATTTCTTAAACTATCAATCCTATTATGAATGTTTATTAAAGATGGCTTTGTCAAAATCAAGTCTCTTCTACCGTATCTAGACGAAACATGCGCCTTAGCGCCAGGATCTGTAAGAGTGAACCCTGGTAACCACACATCAAAATTGCCATATGATCATACCTGAGGCGACAGTCATACACACACCAACTAGCAAATGTTTATCGTAACTGACACCTCATCGGTCCTACTCGCAAACGATGACCGATCGACGACTGCGATTGGTTGTGTTCGCATTTGTCGCCTCTATTCCTCTCTCTGTGCAAGTTTCAAATCTTAAAGCAAGACTTAACCTATCTGCTTTTAAATTCTTCTCAAAAACTGCTCATCATGTGGTAGGTGGATTGAATTAAGCTTAGTGTTTTATTTAATGTATAGGTTATCGAATGAACCTTGCAGATAGACGTGGAGGTGCCGAAGATCGCTCTACCAGATATCACACTCGATATTCACGCTGGACCTGGGAAAGGCACAGTGTCTGCCTATGACTTGAAAATTACCAAGTTTCAGTCTCCAAAGTTAGTTATACGATAAATTCACTATGTAAGCTTATTAATCTGTCAGAGAGGTGCCCAAAAATGATTTCAGAGATCAGACTCTAAGAAAAATGATTTTTGCCTCAAAATTTCCAGAAATTTGCCTTCACTGCTTCATATGTTATCAATAACTTTGTGTTTACATTCCGTCTCGTTCCGTCATCTTTGCAAACATTTTCAACTTTGTCACAGGGAGATTTTACAGCCTCCAAGTACACCATAAAGCTACATCGCTCTTTTTCTTAAAGCTTAAAAAAGGAAGCTTTTTTGTTATGCAGTTATGCAGTTCAGGTCCAACATATAAGTAAACGCAAATGATTTATTTCTTGAAAAAGAAGTGCAAATAGCATTAAGGCATGATTTTCTATAAGCAATCGACTAGCGTGAAAAAGACAATTTAGGATAAGATGACATAAATAGTTACATAACTTGAAGATCGACTTATGGAGTTGCGATATTCGGCAGGCCACATTTTTAATTTATAATTGTCTTAGAAATTCCCCAGAAAGCACCTCATATGAACTTATGTCACTTGCAGATTTGA